AGACACAACTGACAGAGATAGACAGACAGGCAGAGACAGATAGGGAGACAGACGGGGAAACACACACCACACACATTGACACACTCACATACTGACACACACACTCACACACATACACATGCAGAGAGCTAGAGCCAGCTCTATCTCAATCAACACACAGCCAGACACAAGTAGCTTCACACTCAAACACGCACACACTCTCATATATCCCAATATCTCCCCACTCACACATACACACACACGCACAACAATCATTTCAAGATCTCCACATAAATCGATTTTTAATTGCCCCGCGTTGGGCCGTTTGGCTTTTGCTAACCAAACAAGTTGCAGAGGAGTCAGGTGTCGATGCTGGTTTTCATTTAAATATGATATAGAAAATTATAGTTAAAGCGACGGCCGACTAATTTGTAGCATTTATATTATATATTTGTGAATATAACAAAAAGGAGAAAAAAATAAAATAAAATAAATAAACATTTGCATAATTACGCAAACGTGTTGAAAACTTTTGTAGAAAACTTATGATATGTGATATGATGCGACGGCCAAAACAAATGTGGGAATATTTCCTAATCAAAATCACAACAGGAGAGAGAGGGAGAAAGAGAGAGGGAGAGTGAGAGAGACAGCTGTAGCAGTCAATTTATATGATAAATGAATACCGTGTGACTTTATTTTAAGCATAATTAGCAACAAAACAACAATGTGCCAAAAGAGGAAGATAAAACAGAATGTGTTATATAGCTAAAGAATATACAGTTTGCATATGTCATGCTTGGGAGCGTAAAGTTGGGCAACTATATATAAAATAAACATGTAAAACTGAATACTTCAAATAGAATTCAGTGGAAGATTTTCGTTATTTTTTCAGCTAACTAAATCTTTAAAAAACAACTATATTTAGTATATAGATTATATATATATTTCCTTTTACAAATCTTAACTAATATACTCCATTTGCTGCCTGCACGTTCATCAACACCATTAAAATTCAACAACATTTCTCATTCAGGCAGAAAAAGGTAAAAGCCATTAAACTTTTATTCAAATTGCCTTCGATAAATAAATATAAATTATTTGGCAGCAAATGCGTCGTAGTTGCAGTTCATTTACTTTCCAAACGAACAGCTGCAAAAGCGTTTGCGATTTTAATTAAAAATCAAATTATTTTCACGTTTTAATTAGCTATTGCTTATGGCTCATTGGAGATTGGTGTTTGCCGATTGGCGATTGTTGAAGATTGTGAGAATTGCAGCTTAAATTTACTCAGATGCCCACTGACCCATATTCTAGCTTTTCTTCGGCTGTCTAAACAGGCAAACAAGAAACACGTTAAAGTGTTCTAGACGTGCACGACTAGGAGATACCCTGAACAGCTGTTGCTTTGAGGTGATCGAATAAGAGAGGCAGTCGTACATTGAGTATAGTTCAACAGTTGTTCAGTTATCAGTAACATAGACATAGAATGTTTGATATCGATTTTAATCGATTCCCAGAAAGTGAACTAGAAAGCTTACAAATGAGTTCAAAATGACTTGGTTATGTCATAATTGATCGATTCGAATGTCAAACTTAATAACTATAGCTCAAAGTCTCTAGGAATATGTGGTATATATCATTATTAATCGATTCCAAGAAGATGTGTAAAAGAAACTTATCAATGAGCTGAAAAAAGCGCGATAAGTGTGTGTTATATTGCTTATCGCATGATCAACTCCCCTCTATCTGTCTCTGTCTATGTCTCTCTCACTTTCTCTGTCTCTCCCTCTCTCTCTCGTTCCCTCTCGTCTGCTACCTGTTACATAAATTTGCATACACCCAACATACCCTGCTTACCCACTTCAAATATATCTACAGTAGAGCAAATGCTATATATAGAAAGTTAGTGTAGATCTCTGTATATATATTTAGATCGGAATGGTACTTTTACTTTTAGACAGCGCAAATATCTTCCGCATTACAAACGAACGCACTTCGTTCCATTTGTTTTGTTGTTGTTAGTCTGTACAAATATTTTTACTTTGGTTGACAGGCGAGGCATGGTGAGGCGAGGCGACCGAACAAAGTGTCTAAGTGAATCATTTATTAAAGAATCTCTGGCGCGGGAATGTGGAGCAAGATGCAAAAGATTTCAAGTTGTTCACCTTAGTCGATCTATTTAAAATATCCGAAACATCACTTTTGGACCACATTTTCAATTTATTTGATGTAAAAAAGTCTTGGCATTAATGATTTTCTTAATGTCAGCTGACACAATTTCAGATCTACTTGGACTTGTCGACGGGTGGGTGGTTGTTCGTATTGGGGGTTGTAAGAGCAGCATTTCCATTCGCATTGACTTAAATTGTGTTTTCCATTTCGAGTATTTCTTTTGCGTTAATTAAAAGTCTCTCAGGGACGCGTAACACTTTCGTGGCAGTTCATTGACTTCTATTTACGGATCTTCAAAATTAAATGGAAAATCATTTAGATTTTGTTACTGTTTACTTAATTGAATTGATGAGGCATACTAAAAAAAGCCCATTACATCGTTGCCATGGTTCTCCTCTTCTCTTAAGTGGGGCTCTTTGTTAAGGGCAAGAGCATCATTAAAGAGCTCTGCGATCGGCATGATCGATACGAATCCATACAGAGTTTTGAGTTTGTTTGTGCTATCATCAGTTCCATAAAATCTAATGCTTTACTCTTTGACAAAGACTTGGGCCTCGGATCGCTATGATCTTAATTTGTTTGTCCTATCATCAGTTTCATAAGCGCAAGTGCTTCACTTTCTTTAAACGAAAAGAGAAGATCTTCTAGCAAAGATTTCATACACAGTTTTTGTTTGTTTGTCCTAAGATTATAAGTTAGCTCTCTGCCCTCCATAAGCGCAAAAGCTTTGCTCTTTATGTAGGGAAACAGCTTGATCACAATCTTTATTTTTGTCCTAGCACTCTTATAAGCTTCAATATTTCCCTCTTTATTTAGGTAAAGAGCTTTACCGATCGAGCAATGATCGCTAGAATCCCATAAAAAGTTTTTTTTAATGTTTGTTCCATCATCCTAATAACCCATGGCTCTCTCCCTCCCTACATCACTCTCTTAAGCTCACATGCTACGCTCTTTTGGCAAAGGGAAAAGAGCTTGCGATAAAAGCTTTTCGAATGCCGCGATCGCCTCGCGATCTCGTGCTCAAGTTTTCCTGTCCTATCAGTCGAGTGGACGCGTGTCTTCAAACCAGAACGCTTTTTGCAGCGCATTTGTATATAAATATATAGTTTTACATATATATGTATATTTGGATAATCTAGTTTAAATCGCGCGTAAATTTTGTGCTTTTCCACTTGAAATTTTTCACATCTCTGTTGAGTTCCAATCAGATTTTGGCATTTCAATTGGAAAACAATTTGCAGGCATTTTTTATGTGTGCAATTTTTGCGTGCTTATTTATAGTTAAACGTTAGTTGTGTGTATGCGTGTGTGTGCGTGTGTGCGTGTGTGCGTATTTTGTTCTATTGTGTTTTGTTAGCTTGCGCCACAGTCACAGCCCGCCACGAGCTACACAGTGCGTATGAGTGATTTGTGCCTTGGCAGATTGCCAAACATTACGCAGCTGCTTTGAATATTTCCATATTCCATTTTCGAGAATCTATCTTCAAACTGAGTCACATAGCTGCTGCGCGGTGTTGACTTTTATTATGGCCAGTTTTCTTTGTGGACCCAAGTTGCAGTCCATAAATCCATTCGAATGGCTGCTGTAAGGCAGGCGAAACACATGTTGAATCTATTCGCATTAAATGTGTTTGAAATTTGATTATTAAACCAAACATATTAAAATCATAATCTGATCAATATAACTGTCAATTAATTGCTGCCTTGGTACATGAGTCCATGTTGATTTCTGATTGGAGTTGAGTCGTCGTCTGTTTACTTTTGTGAATTGTTTATTTGTTTTTAATAAGTCTTCGCCGTTGGCAAGTGTTTGGCATTTGTCTGGCTGGCTGTTTCTCTATATGTGATAAAAGAACGTCAGCGATTCTTCAGCGGAAATGATGTATCATAACACGAACGTATCCCACGCCCAAAGTCTCGGAGCTTTTTTTCTCTCCTACTATAAACAAATTTGAAATTGAACAAATAATTAAGCCAAATGAGAATAAAATTGAATTTCACACGCAATTTCGTTTATTTTTGTGTATGATTCGTATGGAAGATATATACAGAGGAAGATATATATAGAATTTTGAATTTTATTTTTTAATTCATTGCAGTCGACATTTTGACACTAGGGACTTGCAATTTGGGAGCTGTTCAAAAAGTCTTGCGAATTTTCTGTTTTTTTTCCCCCATCAATTATTTAATTATACATGAATGTCAAGCTCTATGGCATTCAAAGTAGTCCCTAACACATAAGAATTCCGATTTATTTAAATTTGACCAAAGAAAATCTATTGTGAATGAAAGATATAGATATATTAGGCTCATATTAGCTAACAGTTAGAGCTACACATATATAGTCATATTTTTAAAGTTTATCTCAAATTTATCTATTAATTTGCCATTCAACTTGAGATTAGATTAAAAAGCCTCTAAGCCAAGTCTGCGAGAAGTGCAATGAACCTTGGCCGGAGTTATCTTGTGTGGTTTTTCAGGCAAACTTGACGAGAGGCTATTAAAAATGAAACAAGAAACAGCAAAAAGTGCCGAGATGTTGTATATATGTAGATATGTATATGTGCACATATGTATGCATGTATGTGTATTATATACGTATCCAAGTTTATTTAGTGTTGGTTCGTCAAAAGCGCGCTTCAACCTCAACTTATCTGCAGCTCTTTGAGCCAAGTTAACACATAATGAAATCTTATCTCAGGGCAACAACAATAACAACAACAATAGCAACTCTTTGTAGTCAACCTTAGGTGCAAATAAAACAAATGTTTAAGTAAAACTTATCTTGATTTTGTCGCCTATAACTAATTTATCTCTCTCTCTCTCTCTCCCTTGCTCCCTTACAGACTGTTCAAACGACTTGGCGTCCCCAGTTGCCCTTGCCCAAAGAGCTCCAGCTGGCCGATGAAGTCAACCACAAGGCAGAAGCAGCCACCGAAGCAACATTAGACACCAACAACGAGCTGGAGATGGAGCGACTGCGCCAGCAGCATCAGCACGGCTTGAGCGGCTCTTCCTCTCAGCAGCTGACGAACAAACAGAAATGGTCCTTCGGTCGGCTGTTTCGCAAGAAGAAGGATGCTGCGGATGCTGGCAGTGCCAGCTCCAGCGAGGAGGATCGCAAGGCGGGCTTTGTGCCTGCCCAGCGCCAGAGCGCCACGAAACCCAAATCAAAAAATCAAAGCAAATCGGGCAGGGGAAGCAGAACATTCAACTTTGATCACATTGTGCATCCGCAGTCGCAGTCGCAGTCGCAGTCACAGTTGCAGTCACAGTCACAGTCACACTCCCAGTCACAGCAAAATCATGCAGACAACGAATTCTTTTTGCCCGTGGAAATGCTGCCACCCGAGCCCTACTATCAAAATCAGCCTGGCCTCTGGCCTGGTCGCTCCAGCAACTCCCTGGATCGCCGACTCTATCTAAGCCAGTCGCAGCACTCGCAGCAGCTGCCGCCCAGCAAATCCCGCTCCGCGCAGCGCGGCAAGCAGCCCGGACACTCCAGCGAGGAGGAGATCATTTCACTGAATTCCTCCACCTTCTCCAAATATCGCAGCGACGAGAGCATCCACAGTGGCGGCCAGGCGCTGCATGGTGGCCAGGGCGCCTCCAGCCAGAGTCGTCGGAGTCGCGCCGCACGCAACGAGCGCTACTACAAGCGTCTGTCGCGCGACGGCGAGCTGAGCCACGGCAATGTGCCGCCGCAGCAGCAGCAGCAATTGCAACAACAGCAGCAACATCTGCAGCAACAACATCTGCAACAGCAACAGCAACGCTACAAGACTCAGCCCTTGCCTCTGTCCATTTATCAAGCACCACACAACACCGCCTCCACCTCCACCGCCGCCGCCGCCTCCTCCTCCGGCTATGTGCAGTGGCGACCGTTGCAAAACTCCATGCAGAACGATGCGAAGCGCAGCATCAGCTACGACAGCCAAATCCACTTGCAGAACGTGAATGGACGCATGCAGAGCAAGCCGCTGCCCCCACCGCCACCGCCGCGCGATCCACTGCGTCGCGTGCACGTCGGCTACAGCTCGAGCGATCTGCGGCCCGTTTCGTATGCGTTCGATCAGCGCGGACGCTGCGCCTCCGACGATCGCATGTGGCAGCCGACGCAGGCGCACTATCAGTCCGTGCACTCGCTCAACTCAGCTCAGGGCAGCTCCATAGCCAGCGCGCCGACGCAGTCGCAGTCGCAGCACCGTCGCTTCATCACGCGGGCAGAGCGCAATGCGATGCCCGGCAAGAAGTCGCTGCCGAATGGCATTGATTTCCATTATGTGGCGGATGCAACGCCGCGCTCGCGCAAGCCCATTCATCTGCTGGACAGGGATGTCCGATTGGCCGATCCCGTCGAGCCCGCCTCGAGCGGCGTCCTGCGCACCTCGAAAAGCGGTTTGCCCACGGCCAGCAGCGAATGCTCGCGCTCCCAGCAGCCACTGGCCAAGCCGCGTTCCATCTCTAGTTCGCGTTTAAGCGAGCTGCGCAGCTATCCCATGCCCATGTACTCCGAGGTGCAGAAGCCCAAGAGATCGGCGCCAGCGCCCGCTCCCTGCCCCAAATCGAACAGCGTTGTCTGCGGCAGTTTGCACATCAAGCCCAGCGAGCACGGCCGGGAGAACTATGTGGAAATCCAAAACCGGGATGTGCACAAGACCAACTCAATGCCGCATCACTATCAGCGGCGGTCTGGCGAGGATCTGTCCAACAAGTACGATGAGTATGTGGCCGAGAAGCGGGAACAGCATCAGCAGGCGCCCATCTTTGCCGAGCGTAAGGCGAGCGCGCCAGCCATCGCGCCCATCTACTATCCACGCAAGAAGCCCGCCAATCTGGAGGAGGCCATCAATGAGCTGGAGGCCATCTACAAGTCGCTGGGTCTGACCGAGCCAATGGAGCCGAAGCCCGAGCCGAAACCCGAACCCAAGCCGGAGCCGCAGGTGGAGCCAAAGCCGCGCATGCCCACGCCGAGTGACTTCGAGAAGTTCGCCCTGGCGCATGCCGATGATTATGATGATGAGGATTCGCCAGCGGGTGAGCCGGATCCGGTGCGCGATGATGTGGCCTATCGGAATCTGCAGCTGGCCAATTTGCAGTATCGCGCGGTGGACAGGCAGCCGCCGTTTGGCATACCCGTGGGACCGATTGTGCCGGCACCGCAGAGCGACTATCTGCACGTGGAGCCGGTTGTTAAGGAGAAGAAGAAGAGCGGCTCACCGGACATTGTCAAGGATGATCTGGCGGTGCGTGCACTGCGCAAAGATCCGCCCGGTCCCAAGTCCAGCTTCGTCTATCCCATGCAAAAGAAGCAGCGCGCCACGCGCACCCAATCGGCGAACATCTACAATCTGATCCAGCGGGATGCGGCCAAGCCATCCGGGGGAGATCTGAATAGCTACATTGAGCTGACGCGCAGCATCGAGCGAGCCGGCTCAATGTCCAACCTGCGCGGTGAGGAGGCGAGCGACATACCCGGCACATTGGATCTGCTGCGCAAGCTGAAGGCGCAGGACGAGGAGCTCCAAAGGAAAACGCACATACCCTTCAGGCACCCGAGTCAGGGCGGCGCCATAGCCCAGTTGCCGGAGCGACTGGGCCAACAGCATGAGGAGGAGAAGCAGCCAAAGCAGACGCCGCCAGTGCCGGCGCCGCGAAAGAGTCTCACGCCCGAGCCACTGCTCGACGATGCGTTGAATAAGATAGCGCAGGATGCACAGGCGAGCAGCATCAAGCTGACACAGGAGCTGGACGAGCTGCGCAAGGAGGCGCTGATTACAGCGGCGCGGCCCAAGTTGAATGCGGAGCAGCAGAAGCTGGAGCAGGAGCTGCAACAAATCGAGGCCGTCTCCGAGGCGGCCAAGCGCTGTGGCCAACTCCTGCTCGACACGTTGCCTGACCAAACGGATGAGCCGGACAGCGAGCAGCCCAATCCGCGCAAGCTGCAGAAGGAGGGCAAGCTGATACGTGCCATCGACGAAGTGTCCGAGGCGGCGAACGCTGTGTGCGAAAAGATACTCAAGGACATTGTGACCACCGAGCCACCGGTAGTGGTGCACGAGGCGCTGCAGGTGAAGCAGCGACCCCTCGACCAGCAGCAGCTGGTGATGCCGCATCTGATCAAGAAACTGGATCCCATACAGTCGGACAAGATCGAGGCGATAGCCAAGCGCTGCATGCGCCAGCTGAGCGAACTGGCATCCGAATCGCCGCCAGATTACGACAATCTGCCCGCCTGTAATAAGAAAAGCAGCCAACACGAACCGGTCCACGCTGACGCCACTTTAATTTGTCCCATTGCAGAGACCAAGAGCAAAGAGCAAACGATCGATGACATCGATCGGATAATGCGGGAGTGCGAGCTGCAAGCGCGACAAACCGGAACTACCAACACCGCCTCGAGCACAGATGATCAGCGCACCAGCAGGACAACTCACACCACGTCGAGCACGGATGATCAGCGCACCACAGCGCCCAGCATGAGCAGCGGCAGTGGCAGCAGCGGCATCCATCAAGCGAATACTGTGAGCACCACCGCCTCCTCATTTAGCTCCAGCAGTGACTGCCTGGCCAAGTCTTCGAGTCCCTCGACGGGCAATCGGCCCATGTCCTCGAGTATAACCTCTTTCAATCCGTACTCATCGAGCGATTATATCAAGTCGCAGAGTAGCGATTATCATGCACCCAGCACCGATCCCATTAAGACATTCAGCACCACATCGTACGATGTGCCATCGACGCCGAACGACACCACAATTAGCACCAATACACCGAGCACCACCAACACCAGCATCACCAACAACAACCTGAGTGAAAATCGAACCGCCAGCTTTGCAGCATCGCCTACGTCCTCGACCTGCTCGTCGCCGCCGTTGCAGCTGACACCGGTGGGTGGGGATGCGAGTGGAGCACGCTCCTCTTCGCCCTCGCAGTACAATTCGAGCGAGGAGCTGGCCGCCATATTTGGCATTGAGGAGAAGCCATCGAAGCAGCTACGTCGGAAGCAGCTAACAGGTAAAGGCGTTGCCCCCGCCCAGCAGCAACCCGATCAAGCCCCAGCCAATGCCAATGCCAATGCCAATGATAATGTCAATGCCAATGCCAATGATAATGTCAATGCCAATGCCAATGATAATGATAATGATAATGCCAATGAGAACAGCTCCTCTGATGCCGCTACTAATCCCCGCTGTGCGCTCGTCCAAGCTATTGCCACTAATCCAGTTTTGAATGTTGACCCCGAACTAGATGTTAATCACCCATCCACATCCACAAACACATTCATTAATTGTAGTAGTCATAGTTATAAGCTAGCCACCATACCGGAACTGGAACTGGAACTGGAGCTGGATCAGGAGGAGAAAAAGACAGTAGCAGAGCCAAAGACCGAGCTGAAGCTCTCTCCCAATTTCAATCGCATTTATGCCAGCAAAGTGAGCATAGTTGTGGATAAGCCGGAGCTGGAACCAGCTCCAATGCCCGCTTTGACCCAGTTCGATTCGTTGAGTTCGCTGGAGGAGACATCGTCCAATCCGGACTCTGGTAATGCTAGCCTCGCTGATTATCCTCTAAGCACAGCCCAGGCGAATGCCTCAATTGAGCTGCACCCGACTTTCAACACCCGCTTTGAGGTTAAGGAGCATTACGTATCGGAAGTATCGATAAGTGCTAGCGATAGTGATAGCGATGCGACTAGAAAGGAAGAGGAATTTCCCCCTCTGCCCACAGAGGAAGAACTGCTAGAGAGCCTACGAGAGGAGGTTACACTTGACGAAAGAGAAGAACTTGCCGAAAAGTTAGCCTTGAGCGAAGCAGTTTATGAAATAACGACTGAAACATTTATAAAGCCAACTATCGAATATAATGCCAATGAAAATGAACTTAACGATACTCAGCTAGAAACTGAAAATGAACTTAACGATACTCTACAGCAAGAAACTGAATTTTTGCTTGACGAATGTCAATTGGATGACAACGAACTTGACGATAGTGATTTAGTAGCTCAAGCACTTGACGAAGCTTTCCTTGAAGAAATCGAAATTGAAGAAGAGGTTCAAAGTGAACTAGTTCCATGTAAAAAGAGCGTCGTTTATGAGACGCCGCAAATAAATTTGAACATTTCCGAGTTTAAGCTCAATTATGAAACCAAAGCGAAGGCAGAGGAAAGGAAGGATATAAAGAAAGGCATTGCTGCTGATGAAATACCAATTGAAGATGCTTTAACGGTAAACGAGAAGCAGAGCAGCAGCAGCAGCAGCGATAACGGCAACGTCAAGGACAGCGGCGAGAAGCCAAGCAGCGAAGCCAATGAAATTGCAACTGCGAATACTTTAACACGTAACGGAAACAAGAACAGCGGCAGAGGCAGCGACAGTGACAGCGAGAGAGCCAATGAGCGCGCAGCGAATGCTAGTGAGAGCGAGCTTCCGGCTAGGACAGACGAACAGCCGACGACAAGCTCGAAAGCGCTCTCCGTCTTCGGCGAGGTTCGGTCAGTGGGCGTGGGAGCGAGAGCGGGCGCGGGCGCAGGCGTCGTTGGCAATGCAACGCGAAGCGGTTTGACAACACTCGAGCACGTATTGGTCGCCTGCACCGTGGGCCTGATTACACCGAACGATTTGCTCACATTGTGTCTGATCGTAATTGGTGTGATTATCATTGTGGCAATTGCGCTCACCTGAGCGCCGCACTTGATATCATTGTCGTAGTTGTTGTTTGCTGTTAATGTTGTAATTATTGAAAATGGTCGAGGGAGGGGGATGGCAACTTGTTGCCAACAACATGAATGGCTTATTGAATATATTTTTGCATTGAAAATGTTATGAACGATTATATATTTTTTATAAACAATTTAAATAGATGTTATCTTACGAAAGTATTTTTAATTGGAACCACTGTGCAAAATTGTTGTGTAAACCACTGTGCAAGCGAAATATGTTTATCGATCAATTAGTTTATATTTATATTTATAGCCGAAAAAGTATTTTTTCATTAGATTTATAATTTTAGTTATAGAACTTATTGCACCACTGTGCAAGTGCATTTAATTCCACATCGAAACGAACCAATACTAAAAATTCTTTAACAATATAAAACTTTGTTTAATTAATTTTTATTATTAATTTAACTGCAACTTGTGCCAATGATTTTTTTCTTAAATGTTTTTTGCTTTACTTTGTTCTACTTAATTTTATTAATATTGTTATACAACATGAGTTGTTTAAGCACATGAAACGAAAAAGATATCGAATAACATTATAAATAAATATATATATCTTGACTAATCATAAAACATTTCCAAAAATCTTTCTTTGTATATTTTCAGCTCAAAATTTAATATTTTAATTAAGTCAAAGTTGTTTGCTCTCATTTTTGAAATATATATGTTAAATTCATAAAGAAAACAAAAACAAATCGTCGCATAAATATTATTAATAATAAAATGTTATTTAAAACAACTGGAAAACATTCAAAATATTATTTCGTTGCATTTTTTTTTGCAGTTTTCGCTGATTTTGTAGCTTATTGTAAAACTCAATGTAAATTATGTTTTATTTAATTTATTAGTTTTGTATCTATAGATTTTATTATTTTTTTAATTTTTAATTTTTGGTTTTCGTTTTTTTTTTTTTTTAATTTTTTTTTGTACTGGTAAATTATATATTTTTTCCTTATTTGTTTTCATGCTTTTGTAGTTTGTTTTTAGTCACTTTTTAATTTTGTTTTTTTGTTTTTTTTTTTTAGGCTTATAACAATTTGATTGAAAATAATTTTTTGTCTTTTTAGTCAGCTATTTTTTTTATTACGTATTTTTTAATTGCTTTTATTAAAGTATTCAATGCTAATTTGCTCCTCTTTCCAGCTCTTTGCAAATTTTGTTCACTAATAAAATAGAAGCTAAAAATGTGCGTGTTTTTAATGTAATTGTTGCTGTGCAAAATGCCGCTGCCAAAAGCCGAAAACTCTTTTGTTGTAATTAATATATTAACCGGTGTTACATAAAAAACAATATTGTTAATATTTTTATTTATTTCAGCTGAAGGGAAATGTATTCGAATTCAACTAGAAAGCTTTCGTTTAGGTTTGAGTCTTGACTAGATTTTCTTATAAACTTTTTCGAACTGGTTTGTGACTTAGCTATAGTTATGGTTGTCAACTTAGCTAAGAGCTCTTATGAAAATTTCAATGCTAGGTTGGATAGTGTTAAAAAGTTTATTAATAATTTTATATATAACATTTAAATTGCTACTTTTTGTGTATTTTTGTATATGTATATTTTGCTGCGATTTTCCTTTCGAAATACTGGTGAATAGATAAGAGTTGGTATATCTATGCTTAGTTAAATACTTTATCTATAGATACATTTATCTGCAGGACTTATTCTAATACGTTGACCTTCTTGCCATCTTTTTTCGGCTGCTTAGCAGTTTTGCTAATCTTATTTCCTCCGAGTTCTTGACAGCGCCAGACGCAACAACAATAAAAATCGAAAGTCTTGCTACATAATGTGCACCCACGACTCCTCCTGCTCCCCTTCCTCCTCCCCTATCTCAATTGTTGTTGTTGTTGTTATTCGACGTCTGTTGAATTGACATAAAAAGGACATTCAACCTTAGGTCGCTAACGTATGAACCTTTCAGCTTTGTTGTCGTCGTTTGTTGACCCAAAACGCAAAAAGCCAAAACAATTTTTTTTTTTTGAAATTGAATGAAAATGGGCAAACAACAAAATTATATAAATAAATATAATGCGATTACATATTCTCTAATTGAATTTCAAAAAATTGAATTGAAAATCAATTTTGTTTTTATTTTCTCATTGCTGACCCAATGGAAAGTTCATTCACCTGCTCAGCTGACTAAATAGCAATAAAAATGTCACAGATCTAATTTGTTAAAGTCTCACTTGCCACATGCCACATGCCACATGCCACATTTCACATGTGCCAACCCTTAACAACGCCTAGTTGAGCCCCTAGACACGACCGCAATCGCCGTCTGCTGTCATAAATAAATTTCCTTGGCAGCGAAAGCCAAGCGTGCCTGTTTAAAGTATTTTTATAGGGTATATACATTCAGGAAATGAGTCTGAATCATGAGTACAGGGTATATTGTGTATGCCATTTTATATAACTCAAATTAGAGTTTACATTTTGCATTCATATAGTTTAAATTATATAGGGTATATTAAAACAAACTACAGGGTATATATAAACAGCAAAAAATATGAAACAGATGCTGTTCAATTCTATTCTGCTAAAACTGTAGCCTATTGCTACTTACATAAATACATACATATATGTAAATCATAATATATAGGGTATATATTAGCTGAATACTTTAAAGTATAAGATCTGTCTACAGGGTATATTTTAGCAGCCTAAAATATTATTATTATTTCATCATAATAACTATCTACAGGGTATGTTGTAGTCTGATATGTAAATATATTTAATTTTAAAGCCTTTCTACAGGGTATATTTCTACCTGATATCCCCATCACATATGAAGTTCCTTCGCATACATTTTATTTGCAGTTCTTATTGCCTGGCACACACTCGCACACTTACATGCTTTCACACTTATTGTGGGCGTGACCAAGTGGGCGTTTTCAGTTAGCTGCAGCACCTAAGAGCGCCTACCTAATTATGCGCTGCGAAATCCTTTTTTCACTGTGTCGCTGGCACGACAGATAATAATTATCGCCGCCAAAGCAGGCGCCATCGTCTGCCAGCGCCTAGATTTGCGACTTTACACATTACTCATACGCCTAGTAAACACACACATACATATGCATATACATGCTCACACACACACACTCTCATGAACTCTCACTACTACCAAAGGCTGTTGAAGCCATGCGGTCAAGTGTGGGTCGACTGCTGTTGCGCCCCTCGGCTTGTGGTCTTTGCGGCTATTCCAGAACTAGGGAACTGACCCCTATTACAAACCCTGCCACGCCCCCTCGCCAAAAACCTCTTCAATTTGGTTGCACGCCACGCAAAACAATATTTG